TGAGGCTCTTATCTTTGGTCATTGTGCTGTTTAGCATTTTGCATCAAATCTAGATCTCCATTTCTTTTTTCTTTTAGATGTGACTCAGGAGTTGGCCGTGGTGTGAACTGCTACTCTCATGCCCTTTGCCATGGGTAGAGCTACAGAAATTAACCATAAAGAACTCATGTCAAGTTTCCACAGATATGTATATACACAATGTCAAAGTGAATGTTTTGGAATAAGTTTCATATCTTGCAAAGAGTTTGGTGTTTGAAAATAGATAAATATAGGTCCAGATATTGACTTTTTATTGCTTAGATTTGTGATCTTGAGGAAATCATTAACTTCTGCTAACCTTGAATATACTAATCTGTAAACTGGATCTGTAAGTATACCTAGCTGTGCTGCCTTGATAATTTATGTGGACACAATATGAGGTAAGAGATAAGTGTATAGAAGTTGGTAGGAATTAAAACCCTACTATGTTGTTATTCTAATTATAATTGTTTTACAATGTTAGAATATAATCATCCCAGAAATATCCAGATGAAATGACCAGTAGGCAACCTTAGCATTTAAAGACAAAGTTCGTTAAAAGTAAATAGGATGTTAATAATAATGATCTAATCCATTTTCTTCATTTCATACAGCAAGATCATCGGGGTAACTATGTAACCTTTACAAGGTCACCATCCACAAAGTGGCAGAGTTTTGATGAATGAAGAAAGCTTCCCTTATGAATTAAAAATGTCATTATTGGCTCCAAATGTGTACACTGCAACCTTTCAATAAAGTCCTATTGAGTGAATTGCAATTGCCCTCTGGTATTGTAGGTAACTAGATCTTTTCTCCACCTTCTCATTATAAGGGAGAAAATTATCATTGTATACACAGGCAATATTTGAGTGAAGCTCTGGCTTATCAACTCAAAGACTCTGAATCACCAAATGAAGGTTTTAGGGGCATTTCAAACGATATCACATTACTTTGTTTTTTTAACAAATGGGCATTAAGAAGTAAAGTGATTCAGTAAAGGGAAACTGGGATCCAGTAATGAAAGCAATGAAATTGGGCAGAGGAACAAAGGAAAAAGAAAGAAAACTGCAATGAAGAGCATAGTCACTCATTAGAACAAAAATAAATCAAGGAGAGAGTAAGGTTTTCGTAATAAAACTAATTTTCTCATAATTTTGAACTCATGTGGAAATTGCTAGGCTAGGGTTTGGTATACATTTCCCAATTGTGGAAATATAAATTTAGTTGTGAGATGGGGGACTATCGGAAGAGAAAGGAAAAAGTGCTCATATGTATTGTCAAAGATAAGCCAATTCAACAAAAGGAAAATCTTTAAGACTCTTCCAAAAGAGCATTATAGTTCTTCCTTTACTTGTGCCGACTGTAAATGCCACAAAAAGTTGCTGCTGAAAAAACTAGACAGATTGTTTGTTTATTTTGAATATTACCTATTGATTGAGTTTGTGCATAAGCTTCAGATAACTCAAAGTGCATCTCCTTATTTGAAGAGCCTTATGAATCTGATTGACGTTCTCATATATCATAGATGAAATTCCACATGTGATGAATGAGCTAGAATGAAGAGTTTTTGATCCCTCTCTCAAGGCTGTATTTGTGTGACCCTAATATGTAGCAACAAACTTAAGATACTGTGCTTGGAAATCATTCAAAGTGATGTATAGCTCAAAATTAAAGCTCTTTATAATCTCACAACCTATACTTATTGTTAAAAATAGTAAGTAACGACACCATATGTGTTCCATGCATTCCTGCTATCTTCTGAATGCACACTCTATCACTGTAATTGTCTTTTAACATACTTAATATTTAAAGAATTTTCTCAGTAATATATGTACCTGCTGTTCTGTTTTGGAGCAGATGCATACCTAAATTGCTGTTTTATACTCAAGCCTGTGAGCACTAAAAGGTTGAATAACATAACAGGTATTTGAACCCTTAGCTGTGGCATAACTAGGGCTAGAACTCCTCAGCTCTTCTAACTCCCAGTTTCACTGTAACCAACTATCAAGTCATATCACTTCTTCTTGTGTCAAAGGAGTTAATATTATATGTAAAATGACTTTTTGTTAAACATTGGCCTACTATATCTACATTCAAAGTTAACTAATTCCCTCAGGGTAAACCCAAAGGAAGAATTGTAGCTATTTAATATCCTGAAAATCTGAAATGAGGGAATTTCTGCAGTTTTTATTACTGGTAGGTAATTATGTTCTCTGCAAAGATTCATAATACCTGTACTGAAGCTGGCCCTTCTAACCTGACTTTATTTTAATTTTGTTTAATTAGAAACTTACAAAATCTATAACTGGGCAAGCATTCATCTTTCCTTTGAAGTTAAAAGCCCAAATTTTGGTCAGATTATGAGAAATGTAAGTGCACGTGCACACACACACACACACACACACAAAAACACACCACACCACAATGACAACCACCAACAACATATTATTATAAGAATAATAAAAACAATTAGAAGTTATGTATACCTGAAGAAAGTCCACAAGTGTAACTATATACCATGGAAAATATTGGGTTAATAATCCATTTTCAAGGCTATTGTCACAAATGTCATGAAGTATTACTTCAAAATATAGGAAGAATGATCTTGTAAAAAAATTTTCCAAATAAACTTTTATAAAGTGACTATTTGAAAAGAAATTGCTAATGTTCAATATATGTATACAAATATTAATTGATTATAGATAAAAATAAACCCAAGTCTTATATTTAATGAATAAAGTGTGTGGTCAGTAGAAATCTAAAGGAATTGTGGAATTTTAATGCATTTTTCTTAGAGCTTCTGCATCATAGGTTATGAAGACACCAAAATATACCAAGTTCAGAGCTAATCTTTTTCCGCTGTTCTATTATTCACTCAATTAATAGATTTTGTACAGCATAATGATCATTAATGATTATTCCTTAAGAACATTGACCCTAAAATATTTAGCAAGCAGCGAGCATTCCATTGAAATGTTGATTGGAAATGGGGAAATTAAACTGTCACTGATAAAATACTAAAGCTCATTATCACAAAGTTTCATTTTAAATGTTCAGAATTAGCTTTATTACTGCATCGGTAATGATAAGCATGAGTCTTAAATCCATGTCATTTAGGTTTTATGAGCATTATTAAAACACATTAACCACAATTCAATTAATTTACAAAATAAATGCTATTCTACAATATTTGTTTTACTGGCTCTTAAGCAAAGCTGTTGCATTAGGAAGTCCAAAGCCATATGCCTATGGAGTATATTTTACCCTTATCTCTCACCCCCATCTTTGTGGCTTTTCAAAGTATTCACTCTCCTCAGATAGGTAAATGTGCTGAAGGGAAAACACAGCTAGCTTGCTGCCACGCCTTTGTATCATTAGGACAATACTGACCTCTAGTGTTCTAGAAGGTGGAGAAACTAGCCCAGCACTGTGCCTTACTTCCTCTTACTAACCACTTAGATCTTTTTCTAAAGCAACACGGGAACAATTTCATAGAAGAAGAGGAAAAAGAAGGAGGTGGAAGACAAGGAGATGAAGAAGTAAACGAAAAAAGTCAGATTCCAACTGCTCCTACATATTCTCTGAAATAATTTATAAACCAGGGCCCTTTGGATCCTCCTTTAGAGAGGATGATCCCTTTAGCCTTCCTGTAGAATACAAACTTTAATACAATCGGTATAAGGCATTACGACTAACTGTAGATGCTGTCCCTCCAAAACTTCTGACCACAGATAGAAACACTGGCTCAGTTTTGAACATTTTTCTGTATACTACATTTGTTCAATTATCTTCCCTTGAGACATAACTCTGGGGATAAATGCACAGGGTCCTCTAGGACCTAAGTGGGTGGAGAGTGAGGTAGAACGGCCCCTATGTGGTAAGTAATCTTCCTACTGTTCTCTAACCATGATAGTGCAAATTACAAAAAATAAAAAATAAAACTCTTCCAATATGGGTAATATTTTTGAGCTTCATGACAGGAATAAGGGATATGGGAGCAAGCCCAGAAACTTGAGGCACCTTGATAAACCATCTTTGGAAACAACACAGATGGCTTAATTGCATTCTTTCTCATTTAGGAGGTCCCAGAGCTGGAAAAACTTCCTCTCCTCAGCCTAGAGAGGCAGCTGAGAAATTGAGCCTGAACCTCTCACAGCTCCAGAGATTTATTCAAGTTTGACGGACTGGATTCTTTAAATATATAGTGCAGTTGGTGGATCCCCGGGAGTCCAGCCTTCCTGCCTATTAAATTAAATGTCCTGCACTTGCCGGGGTTAGATCTTGGACGACAGAGTGTACACTTAGTGTATACTCATTAATGTTCATAAGCACAAAGATTTTTGGGGTGGGGTGTGCATCAAAGCTCTTCCTCCTCTAATAGGGGCAGCCATTGATCTTGTGGTTGACTACAGTGGTCCATGACTCTTAGGCCAAAACTCCCAATCCTGTTAAACCGGTGCCCATTGGTTGCAGGATACCCCAACTAGAGCCTTCTACCTAGGGCAGAACGCAGAGCCACATATCGTGGGGTGCTCGGTATACTGCAAATCTGAGGCACTGCATTCAGAGATGAGGCACTGTCACCGAGCACGGTGGCTGGGAGCTTCTCCATCCCAGGAAGCTCAGCTCCCAGTGCATTCTGTCTGAACCGGGGGCCCTTCTCCGGAAAAAGCCCTGGCTGAGATCATGCAGGCATGGAACGCGGAGCTAGCAGGAGATTAAGGGAAGAGAAACCCTTCCTCATCCCCTAAACTTTGCGATAACGGAAGAAGGCAGGAAATCCAGCAGGGCTGGCTCATTTGAGCTCTGCTAACTTTTGGGATGGTTGGAGTGATGGAACCACACTGATTAGCTTTTTTTTTTTTTTTTTCCGTTTCCTTTGCCCAAAGCAGACACAATCGAGTACGCTTAGACAGTTGATTGTCTTTCTGAATGCGATCGTTTTCCACCTCACCTACCCGCCCCCAGCTCCTCGTACTCACAATTTGTCGCTGTTAATCCTAAATGCCACAAGCCGGAGAACAGCAAAGTCAAAACGCTGGTCAGCCGTGGTACAGAATCCATTTCCCCCGAGTGAGCGGTCCCTCCCAATGGAATCCCAAATTCGCAGTCGCCAGCCGCGGCTTCTTCTCGCTCGCTCTCTTCTCTGCACGGCCTGACCCCCTCCCACCCCCCCTTGGAGAGGCACTTGCTCTTTCACACCATCCCGTGCCCAGACGCTCCACCGAAACCGTGGCGGGGGAGTCTCCGGAGGTGCAGCTGGGGCTACGGTCCCCGCAACAGCCGCTAGCTGGACTCGCCTTCCTCGCCCGCCTCTTCCTTCTCTTCCTCCCTCCTTAACGGTGCAAATCCAAACCCAATTAGAACGACAAGCGCCGGAGCTCGGTGGACAGCCAAATCCACCTCTTCGGGCGCGAGAGCTGGAATCAGCACCGGGGTGGCGGACAGCTCCTTATAGGCGAGCGGGGCCGCGCGGCGCCGCCCACAGCCAGGCCCGCCCCGCGCTCGCCTATAAGAGCAGCCTGGGCGGGTCTTTGCCCCGCTCCGGCGCTTTTCCTCCAGGCAGCCTAGCCGGTGCGGTGCGCTTTGGCTACCTGGGAGTGAAACGGAAAGGAGATTCTCTCTCTCTCTACCCTCCACCGGCTTCCTCTTCCCTTCCCCCCATTTGGGGAACGAGTAGAGGTATTGAAATTTAAAGGAGATTTTCAAAGACCGCTGCTGAAGGATGCTAATAGGAGCTGGAAGACAAGCGCATTAGGAAGAGGGAATTTCCCACGGAAAGCTTTGTAATGAGCTAACAAGATGCGTTCCTCCACCCCACCTTTGGAGGGGAGGGGAAAACAGAGCTTGAATTACGCATTTAATTTCCCCTGCGTTCGTTCCCTAATGGGAAAAGCTGATGGGTCTCGATAGGATCGGGATTTCTGGTTTCGCGGTTTAACGTTGTGCGCGCTCCCCTGCTTGCAGACCCCACAGCTACTCCCACCGCTCATCCTCTCGCCGGTCTTGGCGTCTGCGTCTCCCGCCCGCTGTTGGCGCGTTGCTTCGGGCAGGTATTGCAAGGTGCTCGGGGCTCTGGATTCCAAGTCAGTGGTTCACTGACATCTCAGGGAGACGGAGAGAGGAGACACACATGGGTGTGGTAGTGATGAGAGTCAGGGTGGAAGCCCGGGTTGGCTCATAGAATTCAAAGTATGAGGACTCTGCTGTAGGGATTTGAATTTTGAAAAAGGGAAAGAGTGATTTGGGTTTCTTTCTAGACACCCCCTCTTACAAATTTTGTTTCTGTTTTTGGCTTCTAGTATACATCTGGAAACTCTCCTGCTTTATCATAAATCAACTTAGTTTGTTTTTATTGGAAGCTGTCAGAGAGCTGTCAAATCTTAACAAAATGAGGGACCATAATGATTTCTCCTATTTGAAGCTTACAATGAAGTTAGGGTTGATGAACTCTACCCACTTCAGAGGAATCTGATGTCTCCCTCTCTCCTCATCCTCCTCTTACCTTCAACAGAAGCAATTATACAATCTTATTTGTCATTGTAGACTCCTGACAATCCTGGCTGCACAACTATAGATGGGACTAGGTTTCAAGCAGCTTCTGCATGAATCCTGAGGTTAACCTTGTGTTTTTTGGTTACAGCTAGACTCACATCACTGAAATATTAAGAGATAGTTGAATGACAACTGGATTAGTGACCTCATCATTTTATTAGAGAAGAAAGAATTTTGAGGGTCCTATCACTTACACATAAATGATCCTCTTCTCTCTAAGCTTCTAACTAAAGATGATTATGTAAGTCGCTAGATTCCTGGGCAAACTGAAAGACTTTCCCAGCTGGAGTTTTAGTTAGAGTGCATGGTAGGGTGCAGTGGAGGACCACACCCAGAAGATGGTGAATGTCAACATATCGAGGCTGAGATGACCTAAGGAGCTGTCCTCTTGGCAGCTGGGAAGGGGTCTGAAGAGAGGAGAGGGCTGAGGTTCAAAATCTATCTGCATGGGCTTCTTTTTTCCTTCTACCAAGGGTACTGAGGAGCTGCCACCCAACCCCTAGCCTTTGAGGATCCCATGGTGAAAAACATTTATCTGGCTATTAATCATACTAAGAAGTCTAGAGAAATATACTGAGCCATTACAGCTTGGTATGTTCTAATTGTATGTAAACACTTAGGCATTTTTAAAAGTAGAATAGTACAGATATAACTGAAGCTCCTTTTGCATTTTCTCTGATCCCATTCATCTGCCATCATACCTAGAAGTAAACACTTTACTTATCTGGTGTATATCATTCCTATACATAATGTTTTTAAACTTTTACCATACATATTTATCTCCCTGAACAATATGTAGAGTGCTTTGTCTTTAACCAATACATAAGTGGTGCCATGTTCTTTCATTTTGCACCTTGCAATTTACTTAGTACTATAATTTTGAAATGTATGTATCCAGCTACATAAAGTCCTAGTTATTTTATTATAACTACTGTATTGTATTTCATTTCATAAATATGCCAAAATATATTCATTAATTCTTTGATGTATGGATCTATAGATTGTTTCCAGGGTTGTTGATATTTCCCTTTAAAAAGTACAATCTTGTACCTGTCTTTTAGCTATTCTTGCTCATATACTGAAGAGTAGAATTTCTGGACCATAGGAAATGCTTGTCTTCAGCTTTACCAGGTATTTTCTGTTATTCTTAAAATGATGGTACCAATTCATAAGTGTCCTCCCCCTAGTTCCACATCCCTAACAACTCTTCAAGACCCCTCTCTTTATGAATAGGAATATGATAATCAGACAACACGTCTTTTGTCACTGAGTTTAATGTTCCACTATATAATTCCACCTTCTACACCTCACCCCCCCCCAAAATGTTTAGTTTAATATAACATTTCAAAAATTATAGAATATGTTGGCTTTGTCTTCTGGCAGGATGGCTTAAAATTAATTATCTGTGCCAGTAAAATGTGCTTAGGATAGATATGAACAGGCAATTAGGAAATTTTTTGCCATGAAGCCCTCAAACTGTGAATGGTATTCAAGTTATTAGTAAATATTGGAACTCTGTATTCATATGTCTATGTGCAGACCCAGTGTACAGTGTATAAATTTCACCTAATTTAAACTCCTATTTACAGTTGTAGCTTTTTGTTTCTCTCCCTCAAACACACCTGTTCTCAGAGCAAGTTGAGCCTTAAATGTCAGACATTTGTCTAATATTTGTTAACATTTTAGTAAGAATACTGCAGCTCTGAATGTAGTGAGGGGTAAACAGCTGTTCCTCTGAGACAATAGTGTAAACAATGCCGTCTTCTGGGGGCATTCTGCCAGCAAGTATTTATTAGCAATAGAATATTAATCACCATAAAAACTGTTTTCAGCCAGATTGATATTTACCTATTGAAATTCTTTTGTAAAGCTTTTAGTCTGATAAATCCACTGTCCAAATGGTGAAGCAGAAGCTGAGTAAACTCCCTTTTCTCCCCCATGTTTCTCCATATAGAAAACTAACTCATCTTTGCAGAGCACTCTGCTTTGAAGAGGCTTAAAAGTTCTGCATGGATGGAGCAGGTTGAACATGAACAGAACATGGGGGAAAAATGGATAATTTTGAAACCCCAAAATGTCTGTATTTTCAAGATGATAAATCTGACCATCTCCTCAAGACAAACTTCTATTTGAAATCCTAAAAAAAAGAAATGAAACGGATAGGATGGCATTTCATTGTTTCTTTTCTTTGATTTTCCCTTGAGCGCTTCCACTTATTTTTCCTTAGGAGACAGAAGGAAAGAATCATTCATCAAATGGAATCTTTGCATTGGAATATTCAACAAGTGGTTCATCTCACTGATTTTATAATTCTCTCGTGAGGCATACAGAAGGCATGTTTGGTCATCTCCATTTTATTGATGGGATACTAAGAGGAGACTGATATTGACATGATAAATGTCACACGGAATTAATGGCTCCAACCCACAGGGGCACAAAAAATGAAGGTCTCCTCCCTCCCCCATTCTATTTCTTTTCTCTTTAGAAAGCTTACTGGTAAAAGTCACTATGACATAGGGACACCTTGAATGTATTGAAGAAAAATCCACATATAATCACAGTAGGCTACTCTATTTTTAATATCAGTTCTTTTGGATTATTTTGACTTCTCATGTTATGGTTTGTGGTAAGGACTAAAGGCTAACATCTGTTGCCACCCAAATCTTCAAAATAGAGTTTTTCAGAATATTGATGTGGCAGAAAGCTAATTATTTTTCTTTTCATTCTTTCTTGTTTCATATTTTTTTCTTTATTTTTGGTTCCTCCTTAATAGTATGTTGCCAGTAATATGATACAGAGTGTGGGAAATAGAAAAAAAACTATCTGCTTCCACAGAGTTAGGTATTATTTAGAAAACTAAGATGTAAACACATTAAAAAGTTCACAATACAAATTAGCATGTGACTATGTGTCAAATCTCTGAGATTACAAATGCTATGTGAGTTTTTAAGTTGACAAAGATTGCGTCCTCTGGGAAAGCTAAGTTGCCCTTGGCGTAATGAATCGGTTCTTTGTCTCCTTGGAAGTAGGGGGATTTGAGTCACCCTGGGCCTTAAAGGTTGCTGCTATTCAGATGAGGTCAAGTCAGGTATATTTGCATAACAGGAAAGTCAAGTCTTAGAATCATGAAGACAGAATTCTACTTTTGCAGAAGAGTGTTCAGATTAAGACCCATTAACTTTAGCCACATATGGAGAAAAATCTACTTCAGCTTCTCCCCACTACTTCTCTCCCCGTCTCTTCTAGTTCTCACTTAAGCCCTATCTTGTCACAATACTTATCCTTGACATCAAAAATAGTGATCTTCTGTCATCTGCCTCCTGCCAGTACGAGGGCCTTCTCTGTTAGAGGCCTTTGCCGGGTGTGCATGCTTCTCAGCTGGTAAGATGCTGTGCTGTTGCATATACTACTCTTTCCTCTTTGCCTGGGCTTTTTGTTCCACTGGCAAACGTTCAAGTCTAGACTCCACTAACAATTCTCTCTTTCCCTAACTCAGTAATTTCTCAAGAGTAGTTTCCTGAATAATATTTAACTTTGAGTTTTCAGTACACATAGTAGGTTTTCAAGGAACAGTTGATGTCTGATAATGTTAGCTATAAAAAGTCTTTGTCAGTTCTTTCAGGGGTTATAGCGATCCCCCAATCCACTCTTTGCACCAGAATGCAGAGGCTCCTTTAAGGACATTTATCCTTATTTACCTTAAAACCAAGATGTCAACTATATAAAAAAAAATCACTGAAAATGCAGTTTAGGATTAATATCCTGATAGTTTATTTTCCTAGTCACATGTTTCTCCAACATTTAGATTTATTTCTCAGAGGGAATTTACCCTCTAAAGTATCTATGTAATTGCATTGGTACAAATCTAGCCATGCCACATCCAGAAACATATGTCAAAAATCATGTTTCTTTTTCATTTATTTCTGCCTCTCTCTAAAAGAACTGCTGCCTATAATCACGAAGAAGTCATTTTGATATATATAGCATTTCAGGAGAAACTTGTTTGAGATAATTAAATGAAAATAATTCTGAGCTTAAAATAGGAAATTCTAAGTATTAGCCTTGCCTTTGAAGCTTACTATTACGAGGCCTGGAGTATATAACTTGGTTTCTTTGAGATTCCATTTCCATACCTGTGAATTGTGAATTATGATAATCC